TCACTAGCGGCGGGCCACTGAGGAGGCAGGGAGAGGCTCTTGAACAAGGGACAGAGCACAGACCTCCTCTTTCATGTTCCAGCTGCTCCAACACCCTGTTTGCAGCTGATGTGACGGTTCTTGTGTGCTACACAACTGTTTGTTCTGTCATGCTAAGCCCAAGGCCGGACTCTTCAAGGCAGTCAGACACCATCTCTTGTTCCTGCTCTCCAGCTGCAGGCACCCAGCGCAAAGCAGAAGCGCTGCCAGGGAAAGGACATCAGCAGACATGTGCCATTGGTCTGGATTACTCAGAAGCACTGGCTCTGCTATGCAAAAGGTATTAAGTTAAAAATCGACACTTCTGTCCCCTAAATAATTCTGAGAAGAAACCCAGCAAACCCAGGAAATGCCCCAGGGTTTGTGCTTTGTCAGTCCCAGCCCGTGGAACTGGAATGTTTGCTCAGCAGGGTGCTGTGAACCAGCTGTTGGCAATGGGTATGGAAGGATGAGCTCAAGGAGCACAGAATACATCAGGTTCATCAACCAGACACTTGTCCAGACTCTCCTGCATCCTGAGCTGATGCGCTGAACGTCCTGTCCTCACACCAGGAAACTGCCTCCAGGACGAGACCATCAACAGCATTTTAATCAGAATTCTAACTTTAGTACAAGAGAAGCTGCCTTTGTTTTCCCCTGACAACAAAAGAGGGGCTCAAAACCCCGCTCAGCTCAAGCTCAGCCCCCTCCATCCTAGTTCAGCAGCTCAGAGGAGGGAAGGTTCCCTCCTTCCCCTGTGCCATGCTCAAAGCTCTGAGCCCACACGCTGTGTGAGGGCTGCAGGCACCGACTCCAGATGAAGTTCTTGTCCAGCCCACTCAGCCCCAGGCATAACAAACTGAGCTGCCTGTGTCTGCTGTAACGGGGTCCTGGGCCTGTCTGCTGCTGCCGTCAGGAACAGGGCACGAAGTGGGGGCACTGGAAGGGAACACAGGTGTTACCTGGCAGGAAATAAACTCAGCTCAGCAAGAAACACACGAGCTCCTGTGGGCACCCTGTGCCAGCGCCTC